CATTTCTGTCCTCATCTGATGCTGCTATTATGTATCTACTGTTTATAGACATATTGTTTATAACACATACTGTTTTTTGAATATTAATGAAAATTATGTTATTCAGTATCTAGGAATAGTTTTGGAAAGTGTCTGATTCAGGTACATATTTAATCTGCATAAACTACAGAGTGGATGTCTTCTGAAATACAATAGAATATTTAAAGGAGGTGTACAGTGAAGAATACTTCTAACTTACATCAGTGTGTTAGATTACATCATGTGTTAGTTAGCACACTTACTTTCATTTTGACAGCAATTTTGACAAAAATAACAATTGTGTTATGTCCCTGCATTCAGGAAACGTACTGAGCCCATCACAGCTTGCTATAAATAAGGCAAACAGTAACATTTCCACAGTTTGTCTCACCCAGGCCTTTATATTAAACAGTGACCAGAGTTTTATTTGTTTACAAAAAAATGTGACAAGAAGAACCTGGAACGAAACGCATATCGAGTGTCCGAACAGCAGCCTGAATCACTGACTGTACGAAAAGAGAAAGAGAAGAAGTGTATTTATACTGAGTCTATGTACACAGCTGTCCGAAAGCACAAACATATGGATTTTTCAAAAATGTCCCATACATTGATAGATAAAAAAGTTATAGAAGCCTGACAAGAATGATTCTGAAAAATTCAATTTATTGTAAAATGACATATTAAGTAACCACAAAGAGTAATATTTGGATCATTGTACTGATATCATATACTAAATTATATCTGGCATATATATATATATATATATATATACACACACACATACACACACGCACACACAAATTCTTGCTAAAAGCAGAATTATCATTTTCTGGGACAAAGTTGAAGTTTGTGATCTATGAATTACTTTTTATATAATAGCTTTTATTTATAGACAGTGTCCTATTTTTTGTCTTGATCCTTTGAAAACAACATTAATTATTATTGCTACTATCATTACTAGTGACAATAATATTTATGATACCTATAATAACATTAATCACGGATTACTTTCTCACATACAAACAGGGTTATTTCGGTATTCTGTCTCTGAATGTGTCAAGTAATTGCTGAAAATAACAGGGGATGATCACTCATTTGCACAAATATTGTCCAATGCAAATGATTATAAGGCAGGAATTAAAATAAGCTTATCACATCTGATTCAGTTTGACAACTTGGCAGTGGCCTCAGGCCAAGGCTGTACGTGCACTGAAATTTTGAGTGTGTCGGGAAGAAAAACAGGAGGACGGAGAAGAAGAAAGATGAACAGAGATACTTAAATGGGGCATTTTTTAGGGCTTTGTGATTCATTCAAGAAATGGCTTTTTTAAGGTGAAGTCTGGGGAAATTATATAGCATCTGCCACTCCTATATCTGTCTGTGAGAACTGCCGTTCTGCCCACTCATGATGTTTTACTTTTGTTTAACTAATGCTGGTTATTGTTTAGACAGCTTGTTTAGTGTTTACAACACTGCAATCAGCCTGTTCTTGAGACAAGAACCAACTGCTCCTAAAATGATGGCCATTAGCATTAGCATGTGGCTAGCGAGTTACTTTAGGAAATGTATTACTTCAACATATAAAATTTTGCCAGTAACTGTGTTTGTTAAGGGCACGCATTTAGTAGATTTACTTGGATCACAGCTGAATGAGTGTGTTAAATGGTAGGACTCTGCAAACAAGCTGTCACAAAACAGAGTACTTTGATTTCCAGAGAAGATTTCCCATAATGCCCAAACAATTGTGTTTTATTCAGTGTGGCATTATGGGAACTGAAAACTGATCCTAGTGTGAGTGGAAAATTAATGTAACTCTCTGAAAACAGCAACACAGAACTACAAAAAAAAAAGTGAATTTACATTGAATTTGAGGATTTTAGAAATTGCCCATATGGTGGATTGGCACTTGCACAATCCACCATATGCAGAAATTGTTGGACACACACCATTCTGAGTACAATGGCAGCCATTACCCAAGTTTAGGCAGAGCATGAGGGACTGTGGAGAGCCACTACTTTTGGGAACTTTAAAACATTACTGCCCCGGGTTAGGTACTTACAGTATGGGGCATTGTCAGTCCGGGATTGATGTGAAAGGCAAATCACCAGGACTGTTCTGTGTTATTAATAGTTATTAATAGTGACATCTGGCAAAGTGAAGAGGATATTCATATTCTGGTAAATCTTCTCCAATCCTCTCCCATCTGCTGTGTACTGAAAAGCATCCAGACCGAGTGCTTTACAGTTATCCTGCAAAACATCTAAATCCCTTATAAAAATGTGGGGGGATTCCATGGGATTCCATGAGAGAGAGAGAGAGAGAGAGACAACTTTACTCATATTTTTTCAAAAGTTATTTATGGCTCCAGTCAAACTAATCCATCATTCTAATTAATATTAAAACAACCAGTTCAATTTCATGTCATTTGGTGACAACATAAATAAATATATAAATGTTATATGTTCTGACTTCATAGCATAACTTTGTATCAAAATAAGCTATTTATTTTGATAAAAGGTTTTTATAAACAAACATACATATAAACCAAACAAATAAAATGCACAGTTGGCTTTACTGTGACGGAATCATTAATTGTACCACTAATCTATGGAGCCACACGTGACGTTTTATTCATTCATTCCTTTGTTTTAGTAAAATTGTGGCCACATTTTATTAATTCATTCCCACAATATATTACAACGTCGCCACAATATATATAATTTTTATCGTTATGTCATGAGCGGGCCCCATACTAATCAGTTCCAGAAATATACAAAATAGTTATGATTATAAGATCATATTTCAGTGACAGCCATTGTTACTCTATGTCAGTATGAGGATGAGAATGTCTCCCAGCTGAGTAAAGACAGACACCATGCGGCAGAGCCAGACAATTTATTAAACTCAGAGCAGAATATGTTTAAGGAAAAGGGGTACATTCTTGCCCAAAGCAAATCTCTGTCTGTTCTTCAACTGGCACTTTGAAAGTCACACTTTGAAATTCACTAATTCCAGAGTTTACGCCAAAACCGAAACACAGGGAAGTCCGTAAAATAAATACTTACGATGAAATTTGTAGGGTCGCGAGCTCTCTTTCTGAAAAATTGCCAGGGGATTTCACCGAACTTTCTGTGGAGTGCCAACAAATAACGTCATTTTGGTAAATCACAGGGCACTGGCAGACTGTCCAGGTCACATATAATAAGCCAGCATTCCCCAGGTCAGAATGATATAAAAGGCCCCACCCCACCTTAAATGTTAGTTAAATCGGCAACACCTGAGTGTCCATAATGATGTCAGCCTTGGGCCCCCATTTAAGGTAATCTGCCCCTGGTGAAACCTCATTCAGATACATATAACTTTAGCTGATGATTTTTAAAGACACATAATACTATTAATGCAGAAAAAAATATTACACTGGCATAGATAAAATGGTGAGTCAAAAATATGACATAGTAATAGTACTGGACAGATGTTAAAGATGAAAGCTAATGGATATGTACTATTTTTCAACAGCTAATAGTTTTTCAAAAGTTAATAATACACATGACATCAGACTTCAAGGAAATATGCAATGTGAGCAACTTTCCACCTACTAATGATGTCAGAATGTCACGTGACACATGCAGAGTACTGAGAGTACATTAGTAAGTGTGTCTCAAGCCATTAATATTACACTTACGGCTCAGAGCCCTTAACACACCACAAGATACCAACCATAAGGTTATTCAAAAGTACTAATTATGTCATTATCTTTCTCTCAGGAATCCCCAGAAATCCCAGTGAGTTAATTGTGCTGTTCCTTTGAGTGCCCATTTATTGATTATGCTATTCCCAAGAATTCATATAGGTATTGATTATATTATCCCCATGCAATCTAGGGACATCATTGAGCTATTTATTTTTCCAGACATTGATTATAAATCAAATACATGATCTCACCACTAGACCATGACATAAATCTTCTTTGATTTACGTACATTTCATTAAGAGTGTGGGTCTTACTTAGGAGCATACAATGAGTCAGAATAAATGAAGGCAATAAATATACAATGAATACGAAAGAAACGGAAAGATCATTATGTTTGCGTTGCACCTGCGCAGATATGCTGACTCACCGCCGGGACGCAACGGTGTTTTTGCCCCTAGCAGCCCCTCTTATGTAGCCTAAGGTAGTGGTTCCCAAACTGGGGGGCGCAGAGGTATTGCGGAGGGGCGCAGCAATGGGATAGCCTCAGGGGCATGTGCCACCCTAAAATAATCTCTTCACAGACTGGACGATTAAACAAATAAAGCAGCGCAACATTACAGTAACTAACAATAAATAAACCACTAACTTACGTGTACTATTAGAGCATTTATGTTATTTATTTAAACTTTACTTTACCATGTAAATTAACTGAAAACCAGTTCTCACTGCTTTACGCGATATTCGGGAGAAATAGCAGATAACGCATGGGAACTTCCTGAGATACAAACGTCACGTTCTTCAGCCAATAAGGGCAAAGTTGTGTCGTCACGGAGGCTGTTCCAGTTTGTTCAGCCGGCTGAGAGGTGCTGTACGATCTGTCTTAAGTCGTCTTGCTCTTGCAAGGTTTTTGTACCATGTGACATGGTGACGCGTGACGACGTTTTGCAGCGCCGGGCAAAAAATCTAACCATATCATGAAAAACGAGGTTTAAAATTTTCTACATGAAGTGCCGGGAGACTATCAGTTAATGGGTATGATTTAGTGTTGTTATGTGCTATAGTATAGGCTGAAACGTGCGGTTATCATTAAAAACAAAATGCGGTAATCGTAAGACAAACTTTAATTTGTGTACGCCAATGAATATTGACAGGAATGTTAAATATGCATTTGCATAATTTCAAACTTATGCTGGACTTTTATTTTTAATTGATTGCTCTTTTTTCTCCCACAGTGGTGAAATTGCACCATTTGTATTTTGTAATTGCATTTGTTTCGCTCAATTAGAAAAGAGAGTTGTATTTCAAATAAAGTTTGAATCTGAACCTGTGTAGTTTGAATGGCGGGGGCTCAATAATGTTCCTATCTAGAAAAGGGGGCTCTGCAGAGAAAGTTTGGGAATCACTGGCCTAAACGGACATAAAAAGCGCGTGTGCTCGCGTTTGCGGCGCAACTGTAAAAACGTGCGTGTGCGCGCATCTACGCGAACGTCAATGCGTGCTATTGTGTTCGCGTCTACGTGTGCCTATTTCCTCCAATTCCCAGAAACAAACGGGAACACTTCCGCCGCAGTCCGTTACCTAGAAACAGCCAAGCAAAAAGCTCATATCACTCTGTAGTCTCTTATAATGTGGTTGTGTCATGGCAACAAATTTCAGCAAGTATATAAGAAATTTCTATTAAAATTAAGCTACCTAGCTGGTCACTAAATGTACCATAATTTATGGATTTGTCCCGTGGTTTTTAGCCGAGTCTTCCATTGAAATAACGGTAAGCGCAGCAAATGTAGTATGCACCCAAGGCATTAGCCTGCTTCTTATAGTAAACAAGCCTGTAGTTTACCTAATTAAAAAGAAGTACTTACCATGTGTTAAACAGCCGTATATAGCTTACAAAATTACTGTCTTACAATACGATAAATAATACGTGCCCTGGGGAGGTCGCTGGCTGTCGTATTGATGTTATTGGAAGATTAGCGACGTAAAGCAATAAACTGCAGCACTCATTAGCAAGAAGATGGAAGACATGTCTTTGGGGACCATGCTGGCGTACACAAGGAGCCGCAAAACCTCCAGGAGAACCACGTTTCAGGTGCAAAAGACACATGATGCTGATACGACGATTTTTAAAGATGTAATGCTAGAAGTGTGGCGTCGTAATCGTGGCTATGCCTTTGAATAGCCCATCGTTATATATGCATTTAACAGTCCTACGCTATATGAAAATAAGCTTGAATACTCCTGTATAGCCAGTTTGAACTGTTTTTCATTGAAACAGATAGCTGACTCTGTCTGCGTTAACAGGACGAATTGCAGGCTGCAATCTCAGCCAGGGCTCAGAGAAGTACGTACCAGGAAAGGTATTCTTACTCAGATGACTTTGACGATGAAGATGGTGAGAGTTTCTATTACTCTGCTTCAAATTATGTGTTGTTTATTGTTTGATGTTATTTGCTGTGTGTTGTTGTTCATGATTCTCATTATTGGTGCTACGTCATTGGTAGTTGCTAATATATTGTCAATTAACTAGTTTGTAGCAGGAATGAAAGTAAGTGTCTTATTATAGCATTTGAAAATGGCAAAAAAATATCTTTAAATTGTGTTTTATGTATGTTTGGTGTTGTGCAGTTTTATCATCCTTTATCAGTTTTGGTGGCAGTGTTGCTCAGTGGCTAGGACAGTCATGTCGCTCCGCCTGGAGTGGGGGTTCGAATCCCACCGGTGCTCTAACATTTCTGGATTTTAAATGTTCCCCATTCCTGCTGCAATCCAAAGACACAGTTAGGATTTTTGATGTTTTCCCATCCAGGCTGGAATTTGCCCCAGTGAGCCCTATCTACAATAGATAGGGTTGGATGATGGATGGATAGATGGACCTATAAATTAATAAGCAGTGTAGATCATTGCAGTTTATAATTTTCTTTATGTATCAAAGAGGGTAAAGATTTTGGTGTGTTTTTCAGTACGAATGAACACTTTTGATTCAGTTGAAACCATTATAACACATTGTCTATCCGTCTGAACTCTGTCTCCCCCAGATATATTTAAGGAACTGCTACATTTTTCCAAACAGAAGAAGAGTGGGGCATTGAAATTGGAAAAGAAGAAATCCAAAATCAATGACTTCAGGCTTTCTGATGATGAGGATGAAAATGTGAAACCCAAGCGAGTATCATTTCTGAAAACAAAGAAAAAGACGTCTTCCCCACCCCCAGAAATCTCGGAACAGAGGGAGAGCCCAGAGCCACCGGTAGACAGTGGTCCAGATGGTAGCCATAGTGATTCCATACAGTCGTTTCACTCTAGAAGCAGTGTCCTGGATTCCAAGGAGTCTCCAACCTTGGAGAGGGGTCAGTGGAAATCCCCTTCACCTTCACCCCGTGACACTGGCGAGGTCAGACCAGAGACAAGAATTGTAGATGAAGAAGATTCCAGCCTCCAGCCCAAGGAACCAAACACATTTAAGACCAGCTCCACAGGTTCTGGTAGCCTAATAAAGTTTTTGCCTCGTGAACATTTTAGAGTCCTCTGGTGATGTACACAATTGTTTTTAATTGCTTTAACTGGTTTTAAACACAAACAGTAATTTAATTTGCTTGTAAAAACATGTCCTTAAAGTGGTTTATATTGCCATCTGGTGGACAGTTCTCTAACAACAAAGGAACAGGTTGTCAGGGTAGCTGTGGAAAAAAACAAAGACTGAATATAGAGGGAAAACATTATCTTTCTGTCAACATTATCATTTTCATTAAGGTTACCATTGTTATTGATGGACAAATGCCAGCCTTATTTTATATACCTGGATCCTGAATGTATATCTTTTGTAGGTAGTATTTTGGAAGATGAGTTGCCCAAACCAAAGCCTCGTCAGAGGACCCTGAAGTTCCCCACTAACACGGAGAGCGAGTCGCTGCCAGAGAGGCCTCTCACGTCGTCTGTGTCCATCCCCCTGTCCCCCACGGAGATGGACAGCACCAGAAATGGGGCCTTCCACAACTCTAGTCCTCAGGCAAGACCCTTCATGCCTAGTAAATCGAGCCGTGAGAGCAGTGGAGGTTTCTCTGGGGTTTTGTGAACATGGTGCTCCACTGGGCCTGAAATCTATGCCACTGCACTATGTAGCTAAAGACCAGGGGCCTATTTCACAAAGCAGGATTTCTTCCAGATAGCTTGTTGGATTTAATGTAGTCTGGTCTAAATGTAAGTGAACAAAGATAAAGTTTGTTTAGCCCAGACTAATAGTGATGGCCAAACAAAGCTTCATGAACCATGTGCTCTTTTTTCGGACCCCACTAGATGGTGGTCTCTGTTCAAAAAAGGGCTCCAAGCATGCACCAAAGCAAACCAAAATCACCATCTACAACAGGGTTATTCAACTCACGGTCCTCGAGGTCCGAGCACTGCTGGTTTTCCAGCCTTCCTTTACCTGTCAGTCAGGTGTGAATCCTCTGACCAATCAGAATCAGTAATTATTAAACAACTACCTGGGAGAACTGAAAACAAGGCCTAGATTTGGAATCGAGGTCCAGAGTTGAAGAACCCTGATCTACAACAACAGCAACAAGTTATCCGGCTAAGCAAGAAATCTTGCTTTGTAAAACAGGCCCCAGGACCTAGTTTACCATAAACAAAATAATAAAAATCACCCACTTGCTTAAATGGGTTAGTGGGGGAATTTTATCTATGTAACGTCGTTGGAACCAATGCATTTTTTCTGTGACTATATCATTTAATGGTCTGGAGTGATTGGCTACAAGGAAAATATGAATACGGTCAGTCTTCCAAGAGTAGTTCTTTCTGGGATGACCTGTTGTGTCCATACTTATCAGAGGGCTCCCAGAGAGGACGTCTCTGTTTCACCAAAGTTCAGCGCACAGACATTTTCTACTGAAGATCAGCTTGACAGTTCTGTCCACCAATCCACGCCTGGCTCAGTGAGTAAAGGTGAGGAGTCCATTTTCAGGAGCCACATTAAACGTCGTGACCCTTTGCAAGCTTGTCTGCTAGTGTTCGCGTTAACTGTGAAATTAATTTGTGCTTATGTGTTTCAAGCTGGCGTTTATTTGTGGCAATCCTTTTAGAGTCGTGCGCTTTGGAAGACGGAGAAGAAGAAAATTCTCAAAAAAACGGCAGGTCCTTTGAAGAGAAGCAGGTGAGTGAAATAAAATGCCAGTTGGTGAGTTTGGTCCGAAGACTGGTAAATTTATAGAGGGCAACGCTGGGTTACGGGCAGCACCTGGAAAACTGGTTCTCCATTCTCCATTAGTCCTGTGGCTCAGCAATAGGAGCATGACAGCTTGCACCGTAAGGATAACATGGCTGTGTGTGGTCGTTCATCCAGGAGGACACTGCAGATGGATCGCAGCTTAGCGCAAGTATGGAGAGCAGTGTGGCAGAAAAGGCCAGGGAGAGGTGAGCATTTGCGTGTGTGGGCGTCTCCTCGCTGGTCTTCGGAACAGGATGGGCATCATTCGATCAGAGGCAGCTGGTCCATAGAGACAGAGGTGGTAGGATATCTTCTGTTTTTGGGATTAAACTATGAAACAAGTAATTTTAAAATAACTAATTACCAAAATACTATTGTCATTTGAAAACACATTTTCTCTCTCCTTCAGAAAAATTCACTATTGTAAGATTGTACAATGTATCATCTTCCAACTTCCTTTTTTTTAGCCTCTAGTTGCCATTGCATTTGACCAAGTTTACCATGTGTTGTTTTTAAGGGAAAATGCTGCAATTTTTAGAATCTTTTTCTCGGAACTGGATATCCAGAGCCAGTCTCAAAGACAGCAGTACTTCTTATTCGGCACTTGCCTTAAGGGTTGCATGCAGTGTCATCAGTCTGTTTTATTGTGTGTGTGTGTATATATGAGTGGATGTTTGTGTGAATTTAAGGCCGACAAGTTCCTGCACAGCCAGATCTCAGAGGACCCAAATCTGCCGGCCGCACACAGCACAATCTCGATACCTGGGGACGCTGAAAGTTCTGGATCACAAAGCGTACACTAAAGAATCGCAGGCTGAAAATGCTGACTCTTTGAGGGCCACAGTGTACCAGGTAGGAACATATATGATCAGCGGACAAGTCACCCCTCCCCCCCCCAGACACTTCAAACCTTTCCTAGAACAACATTAAATCACGATTGAATTATATAAATCACATGGGGAGAGTAAGTTATTGCCATCATGTTCCTGCTGTTTGGTATCGGTTGTGTTTACAGGAGTGGCTAAAAGGTAAAGATCAGAAGATGAAGGAAACATTGAGGGTCAAAAAACAAGAAGAGAAAACACTAGCAGAGAAAAAGATTCAGGTAATGAATGATTTCACTTGTTTTATTATCGTTCCACCGTTTGGACGTTAGCTTTATCCAAAGGGTCAATTTTATTTGTTTAAACAGCTGGTTGTCATGGGCACCTCTAGAGATTTTGGGTCGTGTGAAAGTGCATCATATTAAACCCCCAACCCTGACCAAGCCAAATTTTTTTAGGTCCATGAAATTGAAATTCCTCCCCTTTGCGGCATCTCTGCTGGTTACTAGTTCAAGGGCAGAACCCCTCCACCTGGGATTTGAACTGGTGGCTCTCAAATTATCTTCTGCTCTTAACCACCACGCCCTCTGCTGTATGTTTTAATTAATGTTCTGACTCATTCATCTATGTGTGACTTTGCTCCTTGTTAGAACGTTCTTCCTTCTAATTTGTCGATAAGGCCTTTGTAAAAATTGTTTTATGTTTTTATTGAATGCAAAGGGGGGTCCCTAATAGAGCCAATAGCTTTTTGTGTGTTTCTAAAAGCTTTTTGGTGTTTTGATGTATGAAAATTGTAGCTAAATTGTCTGTCATGCTCTGATAAAAGTCCTAGTCGCTCTGGATTCCATCAATCTAGAAAAATAACCTTTATTAACGCTAGATCACAGGGGACAGGCTGGGTGAAGAAAACTCAACCGATTCGGAAACAGAGGAAAAGACTGTAATGGGAGGAAAAAATGCACTTTTGCCTCAATCTCACTCAGCACTTCTGTGCTCATTCTGCCTCACAGGAAGCCCTGGATAAAACGGGCGAAGCCAAAGCGTCATTTGAAGCCTGGAAGGAGAAGAAAGCAGAAGTCACGAAAACAAAAATGAGAGCAGAGCGAGAAAAGATCAGGAGGCAGCAGATGGAAACAGATGAGAAGGAGGAGAAGAGAGAAGAGGCCAAGAAGGCGTGTGGCTCATCCATCAGTCAGGCTGATCCCTGTGACTCGCTTGTGACTCTCTTTAACGTCTGACTTCAACTTTCTTTCGCATAAGGTCTTCGAGAAGTGGAAACAGGACCAGGACAAATGTCTGAAGGAGAAGCAGCAGATGGAGAAGGTGAGCGGGAGCAGGCTGAAGCAGAAGCAGGAGGAGCAGACGGAGACGAGGAGGAGAGAGTGTACGTCAGCCTTCAGCAAGTGGTAAGGCGGAGAAGTCTGGGAGCGCGTGACTCGCCGGAACAATGTGTGTGCTGTTTGCTGAATGCCTTTGAAGGAGATCAGAAGATAATGGAACAGAGTAAGTCATGACAGAGGGCAAATTATAGTAAATTAGGACCAGGTACAGTTTACATTTGTTTGGTATTATGGGATGTAGATGAGAGTGACATTGATGTAGCATGCTGTATATTCTGTCTACAAGTGTTATCAGGGCATGTACTGATATTCACAGGATGGTAAATACATCAGTCCATCTTTGATCCAAATATCCAAAGGGGTCGAGATGAACCCAAAACCTTTCCCTGGAAGTACAAGGCAAGAGGCAGGGGACTGACACACAAACACATAGGCTATCCTAGGAAGGTATCAGGGCCCCCTTGGGAACAAATGGAGTAGCTAAACTTATAAAATAGGTCAATCTGCCAGCACCTCCCCGTCCTTCACTCGGCAAGTTTTACCACTTTCGGCTCAAAAAGATCACACAAGTTGCCCGCTTGAGAGACGACCTTCTAGTGTCCATGCCGATGTTTGCCTAGGACCGCCAGACAAGTTAATCAGCACCCTGACACGCACAGCTTCACCACAGATGGGAGACGGGCCTCAGGGAAAAAGAAAATACAGGAGAAGGCTTGTGGGTCCGGATATGTCCCACCGCATCTCTGTAACGTCTATCTCATTCTCGATTTGGTTATTGGGCGGATTTTTTTGTCGCTGAAATATTTAGGAGTGAAAAAAAGGAGGAGATTATTCAAGAAAAAGTGAAGTTGGAGCATCGGCAGAAGAGGATAAAGGAAGAGGAGGAGAAATATGAGAAAGAGGAGAAGAGCAGAATGGCCCTGGAGATGTACGAGACGTGGATGGTGCGTTTGCGGGGCACGGAGTCTGAGTAGCCAGGAACTACATTCTCAGAATCACTCTAACGTTCCCGACTCTTCGATAATAATTGCAGTAATTTTGGCAACGATGACTAACTGTTTACTCACAAGCAAAGTGTTTAATTGCTAGTTTGGCTATTTGGGTTTATGCATGATGGCACACATTGCTAAACAAACAGTAATTCCACTATTAATGAATTTTTACATTTATATACATGGTTTGGGAGTAGGGATTTTTTGCATACTTGACAAATTCCACCTTGGCATTTTCAATATATAAATGCAGATTCTGTTGGAGAGGACAGAATGCCAGTGCATCACTGATTTTTATTAATCTGTCACTAATAATTACAACTAACTCTTGTTTAGCGGCTATCTCGGTTAGGGACCAGTCGCAGAAAAAACCCCATTTCCATTAGTAGTGCACATATACGACCAAATTTCGTGCACCTGACAACAATGCATACCGGAGTCCTTTGAGGCAGAATGTACAGAATGTTGTGAAATATGTCCACATCGTGAAGGATAAAAGAAATCCGTATGAAAGTCGTAAGCATGGTCACGGTTACGCTCGGGCTACCGTGATTTTCACATAGCGATTCTTTCACTTAGTGACCTGGTGGTTGGAATGGAACTCGCTCAACGTGAAGTGAAAATATTAGCGACATACTTATATAAGTGTTAATAATGAGTATTCTGTCACTCTTGCATCATTTTTTATAGCGACGGAAGGAGCGTCAGAGGCGACGAGAGAGGAGACAAAAGAGAATCGACTCCATTCTGCTGGAGGCCCCCCCCCCATGGAGCCCACCCAGTAAGACAGTGCCCTATGGGAAATAGACTCATAGTTTAATTAATTTATGCATTACAATGCAGCCAGACCAGGATCTCTGTGTTGTGGCTAAAACACGACTGTACATATTTTAACAAACGTTTAATCATATCTCTGGAATCCTTTATTATATATTGTAGCTTAGCTGGGATGTTGTTGGTAACACCAAGGACATGACATTCACATGAATGGGTGACTCTGAGTTGGGTGTCTTTACTCCTGTGTGTGTGTGAGCGGGTTTACCTATCCTTATGGGGACATAATGTCCCCATAATGTGATAAATATCCGTTTTTTTCCCTTATGGGGACCGGTTTCCTGGTCCCCATAAGGGAAAACTCTATTTTATACAGTAAAAATTGGTGACTGCTATGAAGAAACTAAAAATGCAAAAACTCTTATATTTTGTTAGGTTACTTATGGTTATGGTTAGGGCTGGGTGGGGGTTAAGGTTGTCATAGTTAGCGTTAGCATTTTTCCCAAATGAATGAGCAGTCCCCATAAGGATATGTTTACCCTACATGTGTGTGTGTGTGTGTGTGTGAGACAGAGAGAGAGCCCTGTACTTCCCAGGATAGACACTAGGTCCCTCTGATCTTGACTTCATAAATGGTTACTGGAAATCCCTTCATGAATAAACCGCATCCACGTTTTCATGTAATGAAAACCATGTTTAGCCTATTTAAGGTATGTCATGTTAGTAAAACCAGTGAACCAGTGATCCTTTGGCGTCATATGTTTAAATATTGCACAACACACCCCTGTACAATTAGCTAATTTATTGTGAGTTTTTCCCTAACCCTCGTGTGTCATTCACCCATACTGTGCTCCATGATGTAGACTTTGGTCAGTGTTTGCTGACTTAAGCATGTAAGACGATTCTTCTCCTTGGTGCATGTACGACTTTGTGCTTACTTCCATATATAATGGTAAGCATATGCAAGGTAGATCGGTGTGCTGAATATCTAGTGGCTGATTTTTCATTATTATTCGCAAGTGCTGCATTTATTCACAACATTTATTCCAGTGATTTAACACTTTTACCATCTCTGCAGCCAGGTATTAATAACAGCTGGTCGCCTCATATCTCTGCCGTATATTCATGAAGCAAATTCTGACAAAGGGCTCCCCTAGCTGATACATCTGTAAAAAAAAAAATAGCTTCCTGTCTTTTTCTTTTGACTAAGGCTTTAATCAATTTTTAGCTCATCTGCATGTAAAAGAACAGAAAACACATTCGGGCAGCGTCTGAATTGTTAAACAGAGACACTGCTTTTCTGGTACTATTTATTTCCTTGATTCTGTGTGGAATGTGTGAAAGCACGATCCCACCACAGCCTCGACATTCAGCAAAGGGTCTTTATTCCGTTCATGCGCCCATTTTCAAAAACTTTATGCCGCTGGTTCCTCGTTACCTGAAGCATATCATAGTAGGCATAAGGCAAGGGCACCTGTCCTCAGCGAAGTGCTGTAATGTGAATCCCACAAGTAATTCATGTTCTAATGTCACATTTCAGTAGCGTACCATAGGCCTACACATGCCCTGCATCGCTAATTTCATATTTCAGCAGCATACCGTACAGACCTGGATGGCGTCCTGTCAAATGTTGCATGTTCTCTAAAGAAGGTGAGTGGACTTGCTAGAACGGCGCTGATTCTCCAGATCATTCCAACAACGGCAAAGCACAGACATTTTGTGGACGATATAATTCTATCTGTCCCGCGCAGTAACATTCAACGAACCATGGAGACATTCATGCTGAGACCCTGAGCAAACATCCATACAAAGGGTACACATCAATGTGAAGGGCAGGCAGAAGGTGTTACGCAGCAAATCAGCCACCGGGAGGTTTGCAATTAAGAGGTTTGTCACCGTGCGTAACAATTTGTAGACCATGTAAATTACGAGGGAGTGACCAATCAGGTCAGAGAAGGTCAATGTGTTATACGTAAGGATGAGAATCACTTGCATTAGGGTGAATACGGGGAAAGTGGGACACTTTTGCCATTTTGATTTTTAGCGCTCATTGCAATAGTAACCAAATGTAAAATCCCATATCTGATTTCTGCAATTTTTTACATGTTCATCAAAAGAAAAAAATAATGCATTACACAAGATATCGTGCACACGAACATCATAGCAAGACGTCCACACATATCGGTGGGACAGTACTATGTGTATGACTGATTTAATGAAACACAAGTAAGACACAAGTGCTAATAAACAGTATAAAACTACAGCTTTCATTTCTGTTCATGAAGGGTGTAGCCACCTTGAATCCTGAGGTCAGGGTTGCAGAGCTTCCTCTGACTGTTTTCCGACTTCAGGGGGCGTTTCAGTTGAAATTTCCGACTTGTAACTTATAAATTCCAATTTCAAATGGAACACAGCATTAGCCCTGAACCCTCAAAGACTTGACTGACGTCACTTGGTAAGTGATTGAGTACAAGAAGCTGCAAGGGCTGAAAATGGTATGAATAAATAGGACAGCACGTTGTGACATCACATTACCTTGACAACACCAAAACATGTTCTTTATTATTGTGAATTTGGGACTTTATACATTAAGATTAGGACTTTCTTCACAACCAAGATGCTTAAGCAACCAATTGCCTCATTTGAAAGTGTTGCAGGCATTTTCCTTACAGAGTGGGTGAGAGGTAATTGTCAAATAATCAATTTACTCTTTTTTTGTCAAAATAGCATAATTACACAAAAACTTTTTTTTTAATGGTTTGTTTACCGTTTATGCTTCTGCGCTTATATCACAGCACTATGAATTGTGGGTAATTCCCTCAGGCAAAGGTCACAGAAATTATGGCAAGTGTGCATAAATGGCTCAAAATGTCTATGAGAGAGTCCTCGTGCAGGTCACAATCTGACAGCGGGACAGCCCTAAGCCCTCAAGGACTTAGCGGGACTGCGCCTCAAAGTTTGAGAGTCCGTGAGTATGGGCATCGGGTTTGGGCCATGGTGGTAAAGTCTGCAAAGATGGTTCCTGCAGTTTCCATATCAGCTTCACAACTGGGTGATGGGGAAGTAGGTATCATCTACATTCTGTTGGGTGAAGCGGTGCATGGTGGTGGTCCGTGCTGAAGAGCACTTGGCGGAGGGCAGTGAGATGAGAGCTGGGTAGTGTTACGCGAATGATCCATTACCCATTCTGTGGTTATGCTTGGGCGAAAGTGATTGGTGGCATTTATGTTGACCGGGTAAACGCCACTTCCTCTAAACCCAGTTTGAGCGCTCTGTGCCACTGCCGCCTTTTCCCATGCCCTGGTGAAAACGGCAAAAAAGTCTGTCCTTTGGAGCTTCTTTCTTCCAGTCTGCCTGGCCAAATTTTGGCCTTCCAGGTTCCAGTTATGTTTTAGGCTTTTGAAGAGGGACCATTCTGCTGGCCGTAGAATGCGTGCGGCGTGAGATGGAAAGCACACTACGTGCACATTGGAGTTCTTCATTAGTGTGAGGAAGTCCAGATTGAAAGCATGGCCGCTTTGTCCATCAAGCAGAAGCACGTGTGGTCGGAGGTCATCCTTCGGGAGCGTGGCAACAAACTGTCTGCCCCACTCCAAGAACAGCTCAGAGTTCATCCAACCGTTCTCTGACATTCTCACCATACAGTTGTCTGGAGACCCTAACAGCCACTCTGCCCTGAGTCGTTTCCCCTTAAAGATTATGAAGAGGGGACCATACTGTCCTGCAGCATTTAGGCTGGCCAGAACAGTCGTTGTCTCGCCCCTCAGACAGGGGGCACCGAGTTCTAAAGCCACCTTAGACGAGGTACAGTGATCCTGCAGTCGAGTTTCATCGCAGTTCCAGATGTGCGACGGCATATCCTGAATCTCCAGTTCACGCAACAGTTCCTCATAGTTTGCAAACCACTGCTGAACCACGGTGGAGGTGAAACACGCAGAACGAGCTTCAGGCTTCCTCATGCTGAGGCTTGGATTTCTTGCCACGAAGCCTTCAAACCAGTAATGTCCAGCCTTTCCTTTTCCTTCGGAGAAACCCCGGATGCCATTTGCTGCCGCATATTGGAAAGCCAGCCTCTGTACATCTGGCTTTCTCATTGGAAACCCCCTTTTCGATAAGGTTTTGATTAAGTTTGCCAGCATCTCTTCTTCCTCCTTTGTGAGTACAGGGTTTCTCCCCATTGAGTGCTCGTGGCCCTGCACCTTGCCCCTCACTCTGCGCTGGAGTGTAGATTTTGGCACATTCCAGGCCCGTGCCAAGAGTCTCAGGTTCGGCATCTGCCCTTCCTGCTCCAGTTGCTTGTACTCACTGATTGCTGCTGCCATCAGTTCCTCACTCCACGTGTTCAGCCGGCGCTCTCCCTTCTCCTTTCCAACTCCCTTTGCAGTCCCTCTCTGCCTTGGTGCCATTGTGCTCTAAAATTAATTTAAAGAAGTTGATCGCTATTCTTTCCTGTGTCAAAATATAAAAAGTCTGACATTTATTAGTTTGTAACTATGAGTTATTCTACATTATGCAGCACATGTGAGAAAGGTGGAAAAATGTGTGGCAGTATCACAGAACCTACCTTATGTATATATGTATATATTTATAAGCCCAGGCAGTCATTCCGTCCTGCCTAAAATCAGCCGCAATCATACCAGTGCCGCCCATCCAGAAGCAGTCAGGCCTAAATGATTATCGCCCTGGGGCCCTCACTCCAGTAATCAGGAAGTGCTTTGAGACTGGTTCTCCAGCACATCAAGGACTATCTCCCCCAAGACTTCGATCCCTACCAGTTCGCATATCGTGCAAACAGATCCACAGAAGATGCCATCGCCGTAGCTCTCCACTCTGCGCTCAGCCATCTGGAGCGGCAGCGAAGCTACGTCCGGATGCTCTTTGTGGATTACAGCTCGGCATTTAACACAATCATCCCTGACGTTCTCATCACCAAACTGGTCACTCTCAGCCTCCCCCCTCTCACACGTGTCTGGATAAAGGACTTTCTTACCAACCGGCTCCAGACTGTGAGACTCGCTGCTGAGCCCCCTCCTATACTGTCTCTATACCCACGACTGTAGTCCAGCCCACAGCAACAACCTCATGGTCAAGTTTGCTGACAACACCACAGTGGTCGGACTCATCTCAAAGGGAGACGAGGCAGCTTACAGAGAGGAGGTCCCATCTCAAAGGGAGACGAGGCAGCTTACAGAGAGGAGGTCCCATCTCAAAGGGAGACGAGGCAGCTTACAAAGAGGAGGTCCTGAAGTTGGCAGCCTGGTGCTCAAAGAACAATCTGGCTCTGAACACCAGGAAAACCAAGGAGATCATAGTCGACTTCAGGAGGCACAGCATCGACTTAGCCCCCCTCTACGTCCACGGCGAGTGTGTGGAGAGGGTCCATACCTTCCGGTTTCTCGGCATCCTTATCTCCGCTGACATCTCCTGGACAGACAACATCACAGCAATTACCAAGAAGGCTCAGAAGCAGTTACACTTCCTGAGGATCCTCAGGAAGCACAACCTGGACTCCAACCTGCTACTGACCTTCTACCGCTCGTCCATGAAAGCCTGCTGACGTACTGTATCACAGTACGGTATCACACTATGGTATCACAGTACAGTATCACAGTATGGTATCACAGTACTGTATCACAGTGTGGTACGGCAGCTGCACCACGGCAGACAGGGAGAGGCTTCAGAGAGTCGTAAAGGCAGCACAGAAGATCATCGGCTGCCCTCTCCCCTCCCTGATGGATATTTACCTCCCGCTGCCTCAGCAGAGCAAAAAACATCATCATGGACAGCTCCCACCCTGGCTCTGATCTGTTTGACCAGCAAGGACAAATATACTCAAGAACAGTTTTTTCCCAAAAGCCATAACCACTCTAAACTTACACATGCACTGACTGGACAGTAGACTACACAGTCTAACCCCCCAACCCCTGGACTTCCTTCTGTCCATCAACTGTGCAATATCCAATATCTAAATGTTATTGATAATAACTGTGCAATATCTGTATACTGTACAATATAATTGCACTGTGTCCAACATCCACTACTCACTGCACATGATCATCATTACTTGTGTAATACTTAAATAATGTGCAGTAACCCACACTGCATATCACACTGTATATTTATATATTTAAAAAAAACCCTATTTCGTTATTTATTCTTCCATATTTATATAGTGCTGCAGAACGTTTTGCACTATTTGTGTATTGTCTGTTGTGTGTTCTACATACATGTTTGCACTGGAGGAGCTGCGTTTCATCTCATTGTACATGTGTATAGTGACAATAAAAGGCATTCTATTCTATATGTGTATATATAATCTAATATGAAGAAAGTTATATATATATCGATTGTTTTTTATATATTATTATATATTACAATATACTTCTTGTGTATATGTAGGAGTTGAGACTCTATAATGTAAAATATGTAATTTCTCTCTTTTTGGGAGACCTACAAAACTGTCCCGCATTACCTGAAACATGTTGTCCTACTTTCTCTAACTATTCTGGCAAAGTGGGGCAGATAAAAAAAAATAACACTGTTTAAAAAAATAAATATAACTTTGCCGATTTAAATTATGTTGCTGCACTAGTATATCACAGACACAATTAAATAACAATTAAATACAATTTATTATGACAGATTTAATTACAACCTTAGTATCAATACGAGCAGCAGAGCATAACCTTACCGTATGATTTACGAGCGATGTACCTGTGACTTCAGTCCAATAAAATCTTGTTTTTTGATCACGTGCTTTCTATACCAGCTCTCAGTAACAACTATTCTGATTGGCTCTACTTTAGCCGGGAAAAGCTTAACTGTCCCACATTATCTGAACTCACTACGAGCTGATTTTCAGAGATGGGCTGTTGGAATTTAAAGGGGAAAGACGCTTCAGACTTATCTGGCCCATTTTCACTGCTGGCCCAGTTTATCTGACTTCACCCCGCTGTCTTCTAAACCCCAGAGAGTCTCCTCATTCAGGTCAGATAGCGTAGAGCAGCCGTTCCAGGTTCATCTGGTCACGTGACGAAGTATTGCCGTATCTGCTGCTTATTTAGTGCCAAAAACATGGGAAACGTACTAAATCACGTCACCTTTTAAAGAAACGCCTGTTCAGTGAATAAACTTATCGCGTTTATTATAACATTATATTACAATGCATATTGTAATTATAATTAGAGCCAGTGAGTGATATAGCGACAAGGCATTTGCAATAATATGTATAATGCTTAATCCTCGGATGTGTATACGCTATACCATCCTAGTAATTTCATTATGCATGATGTGCACAAAAGAACACCGGCGATGGAAAGGCATCATAAATAAAACAGGATGATTTTGCATCTTTTAATCGTGATTACGACACGTACCGATATCGAACATCTCACACCCATTCGTTATTTGTGTTTTTACCAAAACAAACTGTACGTGTGAAATGCATGACAAATGTGAATTTCTAACAATTTCTACCCGAATAATGTATTTGAGATAGATTCTACATGGAATATTCATGCGTTTATTCCTTTATCTTATTTAGTTTACATGCCTAGTATTCACCGATACAAATCCAAAACACATGAATAACTAGACTGCACTTACCTAGTCCAGTCGCGGAGCGTTTAATTGGAAACACCTGGTTTTATCGTCATTGACACGTTAGCCTGTTTCCGACAAACCTTGTCCCGTTAACCGTTTTGTATTTGTATGTAATTTAAAGAATACAATACTAATTAATAAAACTGTAGAATTTAATAATATAATATAAAACGTGCATTCATTTTTTTTCATGCGATTTTCCCCCATATGTATCAGCTGTGATGTGATGAATTTCCTTGATACTGTTGCTCTGTCTTGTGTTATAGTACTGGTTACTAGACCCCAGGACTTTGAGTATTACGTAAGAGCTCGTACTTGTTAAAGGAAATAAGGACACCTACGGAGTTTGATGACAGAAACATCAGTCGTCCGAAAAGTAAGTTAATGTGTTGCGTTAAAATGTAGGTCGTCGCCGTTTGCGTTGCAGGCGTATTTTTAGGGGAAATCGGGTCTGTGGTTGGCTAAACCTAAAACCTCTTTATTGGAATAATGTATACTGCAGACATACAATTTTTCTTTGGGGTTAAGTGAATAATGTGGGATGCTATCATGTGATTGCAAACCTTTCCTTTAAGGTAATTTAAATATATATTTAATCGAAATATCAACTTGGGATAGATAAAGTACAGTAATTGGTTTGTAATTTTTCAATCCTTTAATATAAATACTTTAGACCACTCTGAGGTGTTGGTATATTGGTTTCTTGCCCTTGTAGAATGTTGTTTTGGTGGATATTTTAAAATTAAAAATATCTTAAAAATGTACTTCACTTCTGTATATGCAGCTGTTTACATAACAATGTATGAATCACCAAGTCCTTGTTAAAAGATCCTGTCAGTTCATGACCGGCACTCCAACTGCGGGACTCTCCCAGTCGTATGAAAAACTGTTTCTGTCATATGTTCCTATGATTACGAAGCTTGTATTAGTGTGAAATCTAGGCAGCGCCGACACAGGACACTTGGCTGCTAACTATCTAGCTTGCGTCTCTTTGACAGGAAAAGTACTGAAATATTAAAACTAGTGTAAATACCTGTAATCTCTCGGAATGCAATCAGAGGTATTTCCTCAAATTTTTTCACTTCGCCTGTGGAACTAGTAATGTTTAAAATTTGTTGCTCATGTAACGTATGTCAAGCCATGACAAACCTGTTCACAGAAGTCATCTAGGTGTGTTTTCATTAAGAGTGAGAAACAGCTCCACTAACATGTAGTCATAAAACCTAATTGAACTGCTCTCTAACCAGGATGGGTGATTTCTATCATAAGCCACACCCACAGGAACCCAATAAGAGCCATTTGTGTCTGTGTATGATTCTGTGTGCGCCCTGCGATGGGGGTTCCTGGACTGCCTGGATTAGGCTTTCAGCCCACTGTGACCCTGACCAGGAGAGGCGGATGGATGGATGGATGGAAGGAAGGAATCATACTGATGACCTGTTCAATTGGGTGCCAAGATGGCTGACAAAATATAAGCCGTCTGCTTTTCTTGTTGGTGTTGGATTTGGATCTGTGCTTTTCCATGATAATGTACTGATGTCCTCCTCTGCCTGTCCTGCATTTTGTGCATAGCAGTGGGTTGGCACAGGGCATTATACTCTGGGTAATATGGTAGATTGAGGTTGATTCCTGATTCCATTAAGCGTGAAGTTTAATTACTCCAGTGAACAATGCACGGGGTATAACCATAGCCAGGCTCAGTACTGATGCTGAAAACTTTGAAATATACTGTATAACGGCACAGCAGCAACAAACAAATTAAATTAAACAAACGAAACAAACAAATGCTAAGCGAGCGCTACGAATGGTACAGTGTGCAAGAGGTAGTGGGGTCGATACCTGCATTCTCCATTGTTTGTTTATGGGGTCAGTGTGTGGCTCTGAGGGCTAAGCCTCTGTGCCTGTGATCAGAAGGTTATTGGTTTGAGCCCTGGCCTCGGCACAATAATCACGTCTGTGGGCCCCCAGCTCCATGGGTGCTGCTACAGGTGGCTGCCCTTCACTGCCAAGCTCGCTCTCACCTACTGTGTGTCATGGAGAGCAGGATGGGAAACGTGATAAGAGAATTTCCCCATGGGGACCAAATAAAGTATTATACCTTTAAGAGGCATAATGTGCTATTATTGTTATTAGTATATTGTGTTATTTACCTGCATGTTGTCATAGTACTCGGCTGAGCAACTGAATCTGCTTCCTAAACCACAGGATTCACGAACGTCGAAAAAATGGTTTTTCTTCACTCCCAAACATATTTGCATTAAAAACCGAATACCCATTGGGTGGAAATAAACTCAGAAGAAATGAGGACCCTATGAAAAAGCAGTATAGAAGATGACCTCACTTTTTGCACCCTTCTTATGTTTGTTTGCTTGCTGCATACAGTGAGAGGTTTCCATAGCGATGGAACAATGATTATTACATAAAGCCATGCCCCCAATTCCAGTCTGCGGCACATAAATAATGACAAAGAACACATACTTTATAAGGTCCACCAGCTCTGTCCTGAAAAGCAGGAGTCCCAGCCTGCTGACTTTCATGGGAAATAGGAACATCAGGAATTAAGCATCTTTTTTCATGGGTTTTTTGGGTGAAAACTTGGATCCAGCCACCTAACCCTAAAAACAAAAAATACCAGAACACCAAAAAAATCATTCTATCTGTTTTTTTTTTTTTTAATCAGCATTTTAGGTGAAATGAATGAAGCCACCATTTGTAAGATGCATTAATGCTTAATTATAACTCCTAATAAGGTATGGGCTGCATGTCTATCAAGGAAGTGGGATTGTATCTTAAACTAATCCAGTTTCTGAAACCTTAATGTCTGTGTTGATTAAAGGAATAATTATCACATTGAATTCAAATGGAAGTTTTTGAACATAGAGCTTTTAATAATAATCATAATAATAATGGAATCAGGTTATTAGGAATTTTTGTAAAAAGCATGATTTTATTAACAAACAGCTTTTGTTGTGTAGTTAACATTTTACATTTCATATTTCGTATTTTCTTTCTGACACTATAGTAACCATGATCTATGTTAATATCTTTCCACTGAATCATATGGGTTTTAGATACAGGTATTAATTTAGCTAACCATACTAGAAATATATGTTGGACAATATGAATTTGAATTGACAGGCTGTAGGCCTAAATGCTATGGAAACTCATCCGGTTCATATTATACATTACCCATGAGAATCATGGATGGGAATAGTCATAAAATGAATTGCTATCCACGCAATATTTTGTACACTGACCTATACAAATCAGAATTCCACACACACCAAAGGTCATCTTACAAAACTCCAATTCCTTTAAACATCAAAAAATGTTTATTGGGTTAAAATATGAATTGGCGTTTGGCATAATAAAAATGATTTTATAAAATCACATAGTCCAAAAACGAATTCCAAGCATCTTGTGATGGCAATAAAAGGAAAAATATTAAAATCTCAGCTCACCGACACGTCACGCATAATGCTTTGAGCTGCAACGCTTAAGGTTGTTAGTTTTCTTCTTCTTCAAATTGAGTGAACTTGTTGAAATACCACCCACCTTTGGTGTGGATTTCTCACTAAAAGTATTAGTGCTTCAAGTATTTGAAATGTATTTAAGGTCCATTTCAAAATTGCATGTAATGTCCTGGCATAAGGATGGATGGATGGATGCCTCTGCTTTTTAGTGCTGCTGTGAGAGGCAGGGCTACGACGCCATCCAGATGGTGAACGAGATGAACACTGTAGGAAGCGTTGTGTACGCTGAAACGGATCCCAGATACAGCATCACACAGACCCCTAACAGGGCGCTGACGAACGCCGTCTTTTTGCTGCAGACAATCCTCCTCACCTTTTTGCAAAACTGTAAAGACAGGAAAAGATCATTTTAGCAACTACTGTAGTATAAACTTCTCGTTGTTTTTGTTCAGTTTCCACGATTGCACCAGCAGATGGCGCTGTATACCAAAAAAAAATAGCGCCAACAAGCGACGTGATGGACAAGATCGATGTTTAGATTTCAATGTCTAAACCTCTTGTGTTGCTCAGGGTCCCGCAGTAAACATGAATACACAAAGGAAATTAGACCGATTTTTAAAATAAATTTGAAAATGCGTGCATTGCATATACAAGAATGCTATTGCAGAATCTACTCAATATACCATTATTGAACCATATTGGATACTGGACCATTCCTTCAGGTCTCGGAGGCATGGAGATAGTCTGTTTGCACCACAGGATCTACCTGGTCATGTAAAATGGCCTCATGTTTCCTGGCTACTATACAATCGTGCAGACTAAAAATGGGACCCAGTGACCGCCCCCCCCCCCACTGAGATGGTTGTCCTTAGCAGCAATCATTGATTACACGCAAAGAATTGCAGCTTTTTGAATTAACCTTTGATATAAGTGGTGACATAATGTCCCTTAATTTTGTCCCCTCCCCTTTCAGGGCTGCCAGAGCCTATCCCAGGCCACGTAGTTCACGGGGATGGGATGGACCTCACACAGAATGCCAGTCCGGGATGCCAGTCCATCACCTGGCGCACTCACACATTCACACATAATGGTGCAACCTAGAGGCACCAGTTAAACTAACCATACGTCTCCGGACTCCATGAAGATACCTTCATGATGCCAGTAGGAGAACTTCACACAGAGCACATTATGGATTCGAACCCTCAGTCCTGGAGGAGGGGGGGCAACTGTGCAAGCCACTATATTATCTGTATATATGCTTTATATCAGATCTCTATTAACATATTTTAAAAAGGGTACAAAGACTGAATGAAATTCTTTTTAAACTCTTACAATGTAGAGCAGAGGATAAAAGTAGCCCATGTATGTATGCCCATTGTTAAGTCTTAATAATAGTAGTAAATTAGTAATAAATTAAAAATTTTCAGTCTGTGCACTGTGACTATTAAATGAACTGTTCACTCTAACAGTGATTCTTTACCCAAGGATTTAAATCCAAGTATTTAAAGGACAACAATGGACAATGGGGGGATTTGTGGAATTACCAAAACGAAGATTTGAATTTTGCATCGTAAACAAAGTAACTACATTTTATCTTTTGTTTCATGTAATGAAAATGTTTAATTTTTATTCTTCAATTGCTGCAATTTCTGGATAGTTAAAGCCCAAACCCCAATGTCACACATTTTACCCAGCATGTGCTTTTTCTCTTTATGGTTACCATCAAAGATGCCCTTAAAAATTCCAGAACATTCCCAGCTGTCACACCACAGGTCTGCACACATCTTGGACAAACGACGAGGTGTGTCGTTTCAATGCACTCACTCATACCTGGTAAGTCTGAAAGCTCACCGCGATGCCAAATCTGCAGTACATGACGTAATGTTCACAGTTGTACCAGAGAAGGCTGTAGGAGATGGTACCCAACAGCTTCTCGGCCCTCCTGGCCACCTCATCGCCGCTGAACGGGCGCCGGCCACACAGCTTGTCCGTGTGGTTGACCAGGATCTCGGCCCCGTAGGCGAAGTCCTTCACGGAATCCACTCTGACGCTGGCCACCTTGGCAATAACCCCTAGGATCAGCCTGTTGTTGGTCACCATCCTCTTAATGGCCGCCTTGTTGCTAGAAATTACCGGCAAAATGTCAGGTATCAGGTGAGCAACTTTGTTGTCCCCCAAGTATATGCCGAAATGTGTGAAGAGAGTGCGGGGAACCTCCAGCAGATCCCCCCTCCTGTACACCGAGATGTCATATTTGGGCTCCTTGTCGTCTTCAACTTTGCTCGCAATGAAAAACAGACTCAGGAGCTCAAAAGGGGACATTGTGCCTAATGTGGGAAACTGTTTCACACCTGCCTGTTTTATTCCACGAGTGGTGGGAGGGGCCAGGGATTTATAGGGTTACATACTTTGCAACAAGAGCCTTCTTACAATCACATGTTTATAGAGAACTCTTGGATTCCTCAAAGACTAATTCCAGGCTTTGTTCTCTGCTTAATGCGTGTCGACTTGCCAATAAACCGGTTTAAAAGTATGAATGAAAACAGCACGGACTTCTCATGTCGTTAATCGCCCCCTTGGTTAATACGGCAGTGAGTAGAGCATTCAGTTTACTCAATGTGTCAGAATGAGATGCAGCTATTTTCAGAATGTGCTCCAGTATGCAGCATATTGAGTAAAAATGTGATTAAATTAACACTTGTACTGTTACAGAGGCAGTTTAAGCCGTCTTACTGCCAGGTTCAAAACCCAAGAAGAATTGATCTGGTGTTTTCATAAGCAGGTCCAGAATAACTGTCCCCAATTTGTTTGAATCATGCTTGGTGTCAGCAGTCTATTAGCGTAACAAGTACAGTAGCTCTTTGAAAGGTCACTGATGCTGGAATCTTGGCAAGGTTTAAGAATCATATGTTGCTTTTGTTACCTAGAAAACAAGCAGACCGGAGAAACCTATTCTGGAACACGTTTAAGTGACAGATATAACTAATGGTGACTAACTTTGATTTAAATAAAAATCAGGTGTAAGTGAACTATTTATACAATCAACTAAAATAATCACAATTTAAAAGCTGTGAATACTGAAAAAGTTAATTGAAGCTTATTTTCTAATATTAAAATATATATAAAGTAAAACAAAAAATGTTAAATTGTTCATACAAAACGTACTAGATCATTGGTATGTATTGAAATTATTCTAATTTTTAGATGGTTTGACACCCTCAGTTTTAGCCTTAATTTCACCATTACAGTTGGAATAATCTCTAGTTTATGCCACATTCTTTATACCAAAAAGAATGTTTTTACCAAAGGACTATTTTTTAGATCATAATCCCCTTTTCCCAAAATGGATTTAAAGATTGAACGAAATCTCCTTCGTGTGGATTCACAAGCAACGGTGTGTGTTGCAGTTTCTTTGAGACGAAATTAGCCAATTTAAGTACATGCTTGCATAATACGCAGCATTCTTTTTACTGTGAGACATGACAACCAACACTTTTTTTCTTAATTTCTTTATTACTATGTAAAATTACCTGGCATGAGTGTATTAAAATTTAAGTATAAATGTGTTACATATTTAAACAAACACAGATACTGTACATAAACCAACAAGATATGCAAGTATTTATTCCTTCAAGGCTACTAAGAGGTAACGTGGACTTACACAGTAAGTTAAAACAAACCGCGGAGATCTATATCCATCACTGAAGCGGGCGTCTCCAAAGCCATTCATGGTTAAACACATGTGGCTCCCGTTTTAGCGGGACGCTCCGAGTGTTTGGACTCCGCACATCAGCCAGCCATCCAGAGGGCAAAGGGAACGAGGATACTGGGCAGAGTCGTGGAAGGAGCCAGTCCCAGGCACGCAATGGACATCATCCCCAGCAGGGTGGCGAGTAGGACGCTCCTCTGGTCGCGGACAATCGATTTCAGGCCCTCGCAGAACTGCAGGGTGCAGAAGCGATATATCCAATACCAGCATTTTCCCGTGAAGCATAAAAATACAATGAAATTATGCACAAAAACAACACCGCCCCCAACACACAATGCGGATGACAATTAAGTCATTATTTGTTTTAATAATGTTGGTTGATGCATGCGTAATTATGGGATATAAGGCATAAAATGTGAGTTTTCAATTTTCTTAATTTTAACCTATTTGACCCATTCACAAGTGCAGCATAGCTTCTACGTCTTTCATAAGTTATTTGCACTGAAGGTTGAAAACTTTGTATGTGTGTGACACGACGGATTTGGCTTATTATTCCAGTCGTCATCTGTATTTTGTTAGAATATAGACTAGTATAGGTTATTGTATGACAGATTGCGCCGTTACCTTATCCGTTTGTAGGCTGATAGGAGAGCTGTATCTGCAATACGTGACAAAATGTTCACAGTTATTCCAAAGCAGACTGTACGGTATGACTCCGATCAGTTTTTCAGCTCTCCTCGCAACCTCTTCGTTGGGTAAAGGCGACCTCTTCATTGTATTATCCATGTCATTGACTAAGATGTTTGATCCGTAAGCAAAATCTTCAACTGTGTCAACGCGAATGGTGGCATTCTTGGAAATCACACCCCAGAGCAGCCTCTTGTTCGTGACAACTTTTTTAATCTGGCATTTGTCACTCGTAAACACGGGCAGGATGTCAGGCATGAGATGCGCGACTTTGTTGTCACCCAAGTAAATTCCGAAGTGAATGAACAGGGTCCGAGGGACCTCAAGCAGATCTCCCCTCTGGAGGGAGAGTGTCTGGCAGTTATTGGTGCGGGCTTCTTCCTTTTGCGTAATGAACTTAAAAATGTTCAGATTTGAGAGTACCAAAACCTTACCAATAATAAACGTCAGCGAGTCAAACATTTTGCTATGTTTCCAAGTAAATGCGGCTACTTCATTCAAGGCTTTTATCCGCTGGAATATAAGGAGGGTCGGGATTACATCATGCTTCTCCCAGAGATACGATTGGTTTACAAGAGTCTGTATTTTCAAAGAAAGTGTAGCTGTGAGCTTGTTAATAGTGACGTTTATGTGTACAAACCCTGTAGCATGGGAATTGGAGATGAATTTCAACTGAAAAAATGCATTGACACATTTCAGCTAAATATAGGTGATATTGGTCGATCGCATTTCAGATTGTTTCATGGGATTTGGATGCATTCAGTAGGGCTACAAACACAAGTTTAATGGTACACATGTTCGTAGCCTACTTGAAAATTCCAAACTAACGGTGATATTATGATGTTGTGCTGTCATATTCAACTGTATTTGTTTTTTTTTTATCCTGTCCCTCCTTTATATGGTGAACGGGTTAACAATGCAGCCTAAAAGCTTTGTTAAATAATTAGCCTATTTAATTAATTTTTAAATTTGAGGTATTTATGAAAACTTCGTGACTGATTTTTTTTTCAGGATCCACAAATTAATTAATAGATTGCCCTCGTAGAAGGCCTTTGTAAAACAATACATTACATTTAGGATAATGGCAAAACTTTCCGTAGGTAGGGGTTCTCCAATCTGAAAACAAAAAAATGTATGTCAGCCCATAATGCACGTTTCTTAATTTTTACTGATGCATTTAAGGCGAGAATGAGTAGCATGCTTCATTTCAAGAGGGTTGTGTGTCTGTACGGTTTTTACCGTACCCAAATTGGATTAGGAGATGGAAATCTTGACAGCAAGCTGTTGGGGAGAAAAGACTAGTATCAAACATGGACATTTCGAACGTGTCGGAAGTAAAGGTAGGGTACTAATTGAATATTCCAGTATGGCAGCATTAGTAGACTCAGGGAGATTGTGAAGGTGAAGGTTTTTTTTGTCTTGGGCTGAAGAAATAGCTGCCGGAAAGCCTATATGACTGACTGGAATTAATTCTCTACATTGGACACTAGACATCGTGCTCGGACTGACTAACCGCATCCTGCCGGACGCACGCGGCGCAGCGCCTCGGATGTCTATGGTATTTCGCAGTGGCAGCACCTACATGCCAGAGACGCTCAGGGAGATGATGAATGGCCCTCAGCCCCGTGGTGCCGATCCCCGTCGTCCGTCGTAGGGACTTTGGGGGGGGGGGGGTTGCATTGCTGTCTCCATGACAACGGCCCCTGATTAATCGGGATGCGGGGTGCGCATGGATAATGGCGCGGGGCTTCGCTCCCAGTGAATCTGCCCTACTGACAGACCGCTGACAGCAGAGACTGATGACCGTGGATGATTCCCCCTTCAGTGGATGCCAATTCGTTTTAAGCACCAGTAGACACAGTGCCCCCAAAACAATGCGCTAAAGACGTCGGTGTCGCGTATGGGAATTAATCATCTGTCTGCAACCAAATTTGCGTTCTTGTTTAAAAACAGATTCAGGCCCCCTATTTTTTTTGCCTAAAACTATTATTAAACCATTCTGAATCTATTTTGCGATTTGTCCCTTATTTTCGGGTACACTCCAGCTCAGGCAAATTTCATCGCATGGCGTCCTGCATTTCTTCAAGGAGCTGGACCCTCTTAAGGGTCAAATCCTACAAACGCCCCTGGCATACGCTATTATAATGACGCATAAGTTTATGCTTTTCTGTTGTTTTCCAGGCTTTTTGTCCTCACACTTTCAATACATTAACTTTTGTCATTAAATTAAATTAGGGTGACCAGATAATCCATGTCAGGGAGGACACTTTGAGCTACTTTGGGTTTTACAAACTACTTTCAAATTGAAAGGCTCCTGTGCTCGCCCAAATAGTTCAGCTTTTCTTGTGCTTTGACTAGTTTGTTTCCTTGACTGAAAGACTCATCTAGCTGTTTCACATTAGCATTAGTGACACATGCATGATTATAAGAGACTGACCAATCAGCACACAGCAAGAACTCAAGTGCTCAAGTGAAATCCAGGTCCGTTTAATTGAAATGGTAATTTACAATTCCTGTCCTACCTCAGAGTGTCCTCCCTGACATGGATTATCTGGTCACCCTAAATTAAATAGGTACGCCATTGCTGAATCTTTGCTGCGCACTTTCGGCTTGCATTGTTTGTAGGGAAATATAGAAATATACCAAGCTGAACCAAACCGAGTATGGAGTCCAAGTTTTAGCAATGGAAACATTTGTCATAGCCTTACTAACACACTACTTAAATGGGTAAATGAGAAGTTAGCGTCTCGAGAGATGGCTGTATCGCTTCACTTCGTTGTGCTGTGTTCATGATGAATGGATGGTGTGCCCCGGTACTGGCGCTGACTCGGACTCCTAAAAGCAGCCACGATTATCTGCCAGCAAACAGCTTTGATCCTCATTTGGTTTTACTAGCTTGTAAATCTTGAACTTTACTAATACGGCAACCATCGCTTCCTTCTTCCCCGAGATCAAAGGGCATGACCTGCTGGCGGTGACCTTTCTTTCAGATACAAGCCGCTTTCCTTTGCGAGACTGGAAGTTTATAGATGAATTAATATGTATTTTATGCCTGAATTAATATCGCTCTGAATAAGCAGTCAGGAAGCGCGCGTGGCTGAAAGCAGACGGAATCCCAACGCCAAGACAAACGATGCTAGCAATAAATTAACGAGTTATTAATATTTATACAATGTGCATTGTAATATAGAATATTTTCTGTTTTCCCAGCCGTCTGGTCTATAGTCTACAAACATTTCAATGACATTTGGTGAAAAAACGGTATTTTCACATAGGCTATTAATTTCCATATTTGTTTTATGAATTTTAACACAAGATGACATATATTCAGTATATAGCTCTCAACAATAGCAGGTACTATCAGTCCGTTATCCATGGTTAAAGAAGATAACCTAAGTCTTGAATAGAAATCTTGTTTTCACTGACTTAATTGTCTAAGGATGTCTGCACAGAATTTGACATGATCTCAGGAGAATAAATGACTTGATAATCTCAAAGTTTTTAGATCCACTCATTTGAAAATAAAAAGCTCCATTCTCAGGGTGATAAATATATTTTGGAAGTACTCACTGGAAATAAAGCCACAAAAACTGTACTAAAAGTTTTGTGTAAAATATTACTTGCTGTCTTTGCAGTTTTTTTAAAAATGAGATAGGATGTTCCTGTTAACTTGCTTTGCTGGGCACTATGGTCATTGCATTATACAGATTACTTTGATCTGGTAGTTTAAAAGTTTAGAACTGCCGTTTAAGAGTTAAGCTACAGGCAATGTTTATTTGGTATCTGTTTTGAGGGTATCTGAAAGCCTTCTAATTTAAGTTTGGACTTTTTCAAGCTTATGATGAAAACAACTAAACCAGATAACCTTTCTGTCTTTTGGGAACACATCATTTGTTTAGAAATAAGGGCTTTCCATGAAGATAAGTTGTCTTCTATAATTTAAAATGTATTACTTGCTAAAAAAGCATTAGTGTCAATATCAGATTTTAATGAAGGAGTTAAATACTTTTCTTAAATGATTGATACATAGTAAAGAAGGATTAATAAGGAAAGTCCTTACTCTGAAGTGTGATGTTTACAGACACATTAATTGCAGATCAGTGTTTGCCTGCTGTGAGGTTGGAGTCAAACTTGGGTCAGCTTCCAGTCATGTCCAGGTCAACACACAAGTGTCCTGCTCATAACCCATCTAGCCGGAATTCCTGATGCTCCTCTGCATCTGTGGTATGTATAACAGGGGTCAGTTTGGGAACAGTAACCATTTGACTTTAGAAGGCATCGTTATAAGCCACTAACCCAAATTTCACTTGACACAGCCCTTTAATGCAGTCATTTATGTGTTTTATTGATCCTGACCGAAACAAAAATATGAATATATTTCGAAATGGACGATAGCTGACTCAGTCACAAAAACAAAGAATGCAGTTATTTTATAAGAAGTCCTTGGTATAGAATGAATCACTTTAAATCCAATGCAAAGATTTTAAAGTCTGTAAAGTTTTTATAATAAAACCATTATATAATGCTCTGTTTTTGTACTAAAATTCCAAAGTGGCATTGCATTAAAAAATTCCTCAGTGCTATAGGTTGGAGTATACCATAGACGGTACCCAGGAGGTTGGCGTGGGGGGGGCAGGATTGCCGAACCATGTTTTTTTGTGTTTGTCAGTTTGGATACGAAGCTTTGCAAAAGCGAGAGGCTGTTGTAACCTAAGTAAGTGTAACTGTTCATTTACAATCCCACACTGCATGTCTATGCTTTCACATTGCTGTGGTGTTGAAGGGCCGGGGCCTTAAGCAAACTCTCCTGTGTCTCGTTTGCAGATGAAATGCAAAAGCAGGACAAAGCGTGGCCCCGTATTAGCATTGACCCATTTGGCAGAAGCTATATTTGTCTTAATTCTGCATTATCGGGCTTCTCCTCAGTTTCAAAACAGTGTCTGGAAAGAAGACTGTCTCCGGGGAGTCTGTTGTTAAGCTTTATCATTGAGTGTTTATCAAAGGCTGGAATGTGGGATCCTCTCTGTGAGCTTGTAAATCTGCGTGTTGATCACGGGGATGGTGTTAGTGTGTTTGTGCCAGGCCAAAAAAAAAAATAAAAAAGCACGTTAGTGAAAAACCAAGAGCTGCTTGCTGAAGATGGCAGGATGTAGATCCTTGATTGTTGATCTGAATGAAATCGGTTAAGAAATATGTAGAGAAAATGTGAGCGCAAATCAGTTGCATGTGTAGCAATAGCTGTGTGTCTAAATTTGCAACAAATGGCAACATCTTGGGCTTGTTTTTTGTTAAAACATTTCCAGTTTATTGTAACATTACAATGTGCAATATATCATGTTCCTTTGATACAGTCTAACCATCTCCACATTACCACTTTGTAGAATTCTGGTTATACCAGGAGAAGCTTAAGACTGAAGTCTTTCTTAAGGCTCTACTGGCGTAACCAGAATTCTATAAAGTGGCAATGTGGACGGACGGAAGACTGTAGTCGCTCTTGGCTTTTTTTTTAAGACCTTTTTAATTGCCTCTCTGCAGAGTAAATAAATGTTATCAATAGGGCTGCGAGTTTGTTGGACGCCATATGGAATTTTACGCGTGTGGTGGGATCTGGTCCCGTTCTCCTGCGGGGGCGGTTCACCAGGAGTTCATCTCTGTTCAGGTTCATTAACGAGGCACAGTTCAGCTCCAGGTCACCCCCTAGCTATCTGCCGCGTGTCATGTCTTACATGAAGGCCGTGGCCGGGAGGCAGGGCTGAATTTATCTGTGCTACGAGATGGTCACGGAAATTATACATTATTAGCCTAATATAAATGTTTACGTCCACGTCAAAGCCAAAGAGATATTGCATAATAAATGGGGGCAGCTTTCGGTATTACTCCGACAACCCGGTCTTGCTGGGCAGTAAATATTTACAGTTATTGAAGGGGATGGACACGTGGATTGAGAAATCGCGAGAAGTACAGTACTGTGCAAAACGCTTAGGCAACAAAAGAAAATGATTGCATGTTCTTCATGTCGGTGTAAAACGATGCTATTATGCCTGTCACAGTGTGTTAGCTTAGCCGTTCCAAAACCTCTACTAAAGAGGTTTCCAGCAGCCGTACGATACACCCGTGTATTATTTGACTCGACCACTAGCACACCTAGTGTAACTAATCAAAATCTCATTGCCTTTTTAACTAATTAAGTTAATTAATCAAGTGAGCTGGTGTTGAAATGTAACAAACATATAGAATGGCCTGAGATGAGGTTTGGGAACTGAAGCAGCACTCTATCTATCTAGATCTATGTATCTAGATCATTTATCTATCTTTCAGTCTATCTATCATCGACTTATAACTTCTTAATGAGACAATATCATGCTTGAAAACTTTATTTGTTCAGTTTCCTTAAAAAAGCCACCATTGATGTGATTTTATTATGACTGCGTATGCTAAAGTGACCGTATTTTGGAGGACGCAAAGAGAGATGTCAAAGCAACGCAATTATGCACACGAAAGTATTCTGAACGTAGGAAGCAAAAGTCAACATGAAACCAAGCGAAAACCTGGAAATTTTGGCCATTTTTAGGTCCCAAAATTAGAGGACAAGTCCATGGTCACCCTACTGCATACCTATAGGCTTTGTGTTCAGCAACACAAACCAGCTGAGACTGCAGATCTTATCGTCAATATCTTAAAAACAAGTTCAGAATAAAAATACCTGAACGAATCTAGTGATTTATTTTTGTTGCATTGCCTCAGTCTAAAGAGCCTGTATTGGAATTTCATGGCTGCTAAATCCTTCATCTATATCGGCCTTCATCTTAACTGCGTTAATTCGATGCACCAGCCTCATGCAAAGCCACAGTCCAGTCCCACTGCAGGGCTTGTTGTGCCGCCGCGTTTCATGGCCCCGTCCGTCCCGTTTTGTCTCAAAAGAGTTCTCAGACGGCTACCCGCCTAGTGAGGCTTTTATGGGAACCTCAATGAGCACAGATTTCCCTGTCCAGTCCTCTGCCGGCCTCCTTGTTCCTTGTTACCGGGTCTAGGCAAAGACCTCAACCCGTGTAACAATCTGGCTCACATTAGCATTGCTGGGCTTCAGACGCTGCTCAGAGGGCCTGAAAAGCTGCTGAAAGGCCGGTTGCTGCTTTGTCCCTCTTCTCCCTTTGACAAATCACCCTGGAACCAAAGCAGAAATACTACTTCCCCCATAAATAATAACTATCCGCACATTCAGCCTACCTGTGGATTAAAAATTCCACAGCTCGTTTGTGTGCGTGAAATACGAGTATTAAACCAAACTGAAGAAAACGGGGTCTAGATCAAACTTTAATCAACACGCTTTGTTTGGTAGTCGGTGTTTCATAAGGCCGTCATCCTTATGAAAAAGAAGTTTGCTACTGGAGCTGGAGTTTACAAAACATTCTATTACTTCTCCTTAAACACATTCATCTTGTGAAAGGTCTGTAGAAGTGTTTTTTTTTTTCCCAGCCAGTAAGTCTGAGCTTTTCTGCTGGATTTATCAAGAAGAAATAGCTGAAACCAAATTAGACTGTCAGTAAGCAAGTAAAAGTACAAAAAAATGACACACATGCTGGGTTCTGTGATCCTTGATTCCTCCTGCCTTATTCCTCCAGTTGGTTACTGCTGAGATGTAAGGGCTCCCACTAGTGGTTGTGTCCTGAAACAGCAGTGAAAGTGTTCTGGGTGTCGTTGATATTTCTGCTTTACTGTCAGTGAGTGAAACACACAGCGAGAAAGTTCATACTCATGTGTTATGCTCCTTCTGTTGCTTTAGCAATAAATGAATTTCACAAGTGCATCAGGCACCAGCTAATCAATCTATCAATCTACCTATCTATCTGTCATAGGGCATGCACGCACACACACAAATACAATATGCAAGTTAGAGACACCAGCCTACCCCTAAATTGTAAGAAGGAACCAATACAGGTGCAGGCTGAATGTGCAGGTTCTACAAGCTGAGCTGAGATGGGATTTGAACCCGCAGCTCCATACCACCCACTGACGGGCTCCGCCACTCCAAGCTGAGATGGGATTTGAACCCGCAGCTCCATACCACCCACTGACGGGCTCCGCCACTCCAAGCTGAGATGGGATTTGAACCCGCAGCTCCATACAACTCACTGATGGGCTCCACCACTCCTAGCTGAGATGGGATTTGAACCCACAGCTCCATACAACTCACTGATGGGCTCCACCACTCCTAGCTGAGATGGGATTTGAACCCTCAGCTCCATACTACCCACTGATGGGCTCTGCCACTCCTAGCTGAGATGGGATTTGAACCCTCAGCTCCATACAACTCACTGATGGGTTCCACCACTCCTAGCTGAGATGGGATTTGAACCCACAGCTCCATACCACTCACTGATAGACTCCGCCTCTCCAAGCTAAAGTTGCCAAGCCAAACTGATAGATGTGTTGGTTGCAAGATTTGCTACATATGCAAGGGAAACAAGATGCATACAGGAAACTATGTAACTATGTAAATAGCTGGACGGTAACTGGATGTATTTACCATGAGTCAGGCTTACCGTAATTAAGAGTACAGTGTCACCACTGTCGACATTTGTTGGACGTTGTATCTACACGGCAGATATCTGTGTCAGCATGATTTAAATCTTCTGAAGGACAGTCAGAATCACCCCCCCCCCCCCCCCGGTGTAAAATTTATACCGCTGGAGTGAAAATCAGCAATGGGGGTGGGGGGCACTGGCAGTGAAGTCTGCCAATGGCACCCCCTCAGGCTTTGACCGGTCCCGCGTGTGAAGGCTTACTTAAGTCCCGCGGCTGCACTGGATGTACTACCTAAACAAACAAAACGTCCAATAAACCAAAACATTCACGGTAATATTGCTGAAATACCAGTAGCTCAGTAACAGATTAGTCTTCTTGTCTCAATGAACTCTGGCTTTCAAATGATTCTTAACCACAGTATTGACTCAGAAATGATCCGCGAAATGTTGAGGAATTAAATGCGACTTATCAAACCGCCACCAGTTTGTTACGTTTGTCGTTGGCTCTTGACCCTGTTTTGTCTCACTGCACAAAGAACAGGGTGGCTAATCAGTGTTCCTCAAACAGTGAGTAAGAGGGGCACAGAGTCAAAGTGATGCGGAGGTTGGATCGCTTCATGTTTACACATCAGCCATTATCTGTGTCTGAACTCGGACCTTGGTTAGATAAATGGCCTGACTCCTCCAGAGGTCCTCACTCTCATTCGAGCAATCCAGTGGAGGCTTCCTGCAGAAAATGGCTCACCTACTCATACACAGCGCCCTGTTCTTACTTCTCATATTTTCCATGTCATCTGCCGTAAGTAATCTGTATCAGCATCCAGTGGACAATCCTGGCTTGTCCTTCACCCGACCTCTGACCATCTCTTGAAATATTTTTTTGTATCTTGTGCTTTTTGTATGTCAGGAAATAAGGGGAGATTTTGATTCATGCAGCCCAATGGACGGCTTTGTGAGTATCTCAAAGTAACACTTTTAAATGACGCATCTCTAAATGCACACACTCTATTTTTCCATTTCCCCGAGTCACAATCTCTCATTTGGACTTGAAACTATATCAATTTAAGCATAAAAAAAAAATTGTAGCATGCAATTAATATATTTCATCAGATTTGCTTGTTGTTCATTTTGTTCCTAACAGGGTAAATACTGTCCCACCACATGTGGTGTCGCCGATTATCTGAACAGGTACAAGCCTGTGGTTGACAGGGACCTTAATGATCTTGAGTATTTACTGGAGGAAATATCCAACCAAACAAAGGGGGCACAAGACAAAGTGACTTACATGAGAGACTCAGCCACCGCAGCAAAGAAATCCAACGATCCAGGTAGGAAAGAGTTTTGTTTCTGCTTATTTACATTCAATGATATCTATTGAATTCATATATAGAGAGAAATTGATTTTAGTACGATTTGTTTACAGATGTTTACATTAAAAAGTCAACAAACATGTTGGATGATATTCTGAGATTCGAAAAAAGTATAATTTCCCAGGAATCCCAGATATAGTAAGTAATATCTTTAGTTGATAATACGGCATGGATTTTTTATTATGCTAAAAGCACCTTGTTATATTAAAAGCCTAGAATTTTTGAAGTTCATTTTTCCTGAAATCCAAAAAAAGGCAATGAACCAAAAGCATAAAAGTCCGTTTTCCTCTTTCCCTTTCTCTCCTTAGTAAGCTTCAGGAATCGATTGACTCCAATGAGAAAAGGATGCTTCAGCTGAAGCAGATGATCCTCAACCTGGAACAGATGTGCAAGCTTCCCTGTGAGGACACTGTCAAGATTCAGACCGTCACAGGCAAAGGTGAGCCGCAACGCCAAGACACATTAAAAGTCCCTCAGATAAGTGTTTGTCAGCCCAGTCCTTGGGGGCCACTAGACAGTCCACATTTTTTGCTCCCTCCCAGCTCCCAGCACACCTGTACCACGTATTCCTGACTCTTGATTGGCTGAGAGTTGGGAGGAAGCAAAGATTATGAAGACTGGGAGTCCCAGAGAACTGGCTTAACAAACACTGGCTTAGATTGGTCTTCAAAAAAGCCTGTTATACCTTACTTTTCGAGCTGGGAAGGAAAGTTGGGTACGCTGACTGAAAAAAAAATACCACAGAGGGGGGTGGCGAAAATTGTGCCCATGTTCTTGGTTTTGTGTCATCAGATTGTCAAGACGTTGCTAATAAAGGTGGTAGGACTAGTGGTCTGTATTTCATCAAGCCCCTGAAGGCCAAAGAACAGTTCCTGGTTTACTGTGAGATGGACAACAATGGGAATGGCTGGACGGTGCTCCAGAGGGTAAGCACCTCTTCCTGCAGACTTCCTTCCTGCGGGACGCAGTGCCGTATGAATCCCAGGAGGCTTCAAGCTCCTGTGTTGTCTTTTCAGAGGCGCGATGGCAGCGTTGACTTCTCCCGGCCCTGGATCCCGTACAAGGAGGGCTTTGGCTACCTATCCCCGGATGACACCACCGAGTTCTGGCTGGGCAATGAGAAGATGCACCTAGTCACTTCACAGTCTACTGTTCCATATGTGCTCAGGATAGAGATGACAGACTGGGAGGGAAACAAAAAGTAAATACACTTTAAATTGTTAAATGTTTTACTAACCAAAAAAAGTAACCACTTATAATGTATTTTATGTGACTATTATATAACAGAAGTTCATAGTTTACTAACCGATCACAACAAAAATATTTACTTTTTATATCATGGTGAGTCATACTAGATGCGTTGTTGTGCAACAGTGACACCTCTGGCCAATTATGTAACAGCACCTTTGGGCTAAGGGAATAGATCAGCGAATGTGTCTTGTCCACAGAGACACATTAACATGGTCAGAGGCCCCAGGGCTATTTGCGAAGTCAGAAGCCCCCATACTATTTTCTGTGATGCTGTAGTTCTCAGCCACAGTGGTGACGATATTAAATCTTATCAATTTTATTAAACATTAGTTAGGTTAGTTGAAGTTCCGTCTTACTGGAGGCCTCTGGACATCAGCCTCTGCTGCTCCATACCTTTCCAGCAGTGATTAATAAAATGACACTTCATGAACCATTTGCTGTATTTTTTGACCCCACTAGATGGTGCTCTTGGGTTGCTTTGGGGCATGCTCTGTGTCATTTTTTTGACCATAGAGCACCATCAAGTAACGTCAAGTAATACAGCAAATAGTTCATGAAGCTTAATTTTGTCCATCACTACTTTCCAGGTATGCAGATTACGCCAGCTTCAAAGTGGGCCCAGAGGCAGACAGTTACCGGCTGATCTACGCCTACCACCTTGGAGGAGATGCGGGCGACGCGTTCGACGGCTTTGACTTCGGTGACGACCCCAGCGACAAAATCTTCACCTCTCACAACGGGATGCAGTTCAGTACCAGCGACCGGGACAACGACAAGTATGATGGGAACTGTGCAACACAGGACGGCTCGGGCTGGTGGATGAACCGCTGCCATGCCGCACACCTCAATGGCAAATACTACCAAGGTAAAGACCTCACAGTTACTGAGCTCCATGTTCCTCACAGTCAAATCTGTGCTGGTAGCCTGGGCGATGGAGCCTGTTGCCATGGCAACATTTCATTCCCTCATTTTGCCATCATTAATTTTATCTCAAACTTCTTTTTTTTCAAACCAAAAGGTGGAAAGTATACTGCAGAACAAGCTGGACCACATGGTTTCGACAACGGCATCATCTGGGCGACATGGCACAGCCGGTGGTATTCCATGAAAGAGACCACCATGAAGATCATCCCCATCAACAGGATGGGCACACTTGGCCAGCAGACCACCGGGGTCAAACAAATGGGTGGTATTGGGGACATTTGAAGGACACTTTCCAAACATCTAGCTGCGTTTGTGATGCCATACTCCGCCATTGGTCACTGAGGGAAGATATATGCCAGGGATTTAATCAGTTCGATTGACTGGAGGCCGCTTGACCACTTGACAAATAAATTTTTTTTGTGCACCATGTGTTAAGTCATTCGTCAGTCAAGTGTTTGAGTCATGGATCGTGGAACACATATGAACAACGGGGGCCCATGAGGGTATCTAAATTCATGTCCATTTTTCTGCTGGGTTTTGATATAACCTTTTGTTTTAAAAATCAAGGAAATAATGCAGGCTTCTAATAATGAAGTTTTACAGTATCTGTTTCCATTAAATTATTTGTAGGTAATTTTTCGCAATTGTACGTCATTGAATGATTTGTACATATTTTTTTCTTTATCATTCAGTGCTGCGTTCTTAATGACGCTCCACCCAGGTTAAGCAGTCTATGGTTTGAGTCTGATGTTGTTAATGAAGCCTTCAGAGGCTTGGAAGGCTAACAGACCAGGAGATCAGGAGTGTAGAAGAGGATGCCAGTTTACTAGAAGGCTAACCAGCTGTGGAAGAACCAGCAATTAGAGGTTGGAAGTTCAGGCCAATAAAGTACAAATCCAGATCAAGATTTTGTTTCAACCAACCAGCTGAGTACTCTGTGAATGTGACTCTTTATGCTCAACTGGTTGGTTGAAGCAAAATCTTGGTCTGGATTTGTACTTTCTGGACCTCTGCTAGCAATTTTGGTGCAAGAATCATCAATTAAGTCTTGGGGAAAATTCAAAATTGTTTCCCCTCCATTAAAAAAGTCTAAGAGAAAAGCTACAAAAACAGTGACCTTTAGACCAGGATTGGGCAATCTTATCCACTATCCGCAAAGGGCCGGTGTGTATGCAGGTTTTTGGGATAACCTTTAGTTCAGCTGTCCAAACACAGGTGTGAGGACTCTTCAGCCAATCAGTCCTCTAATTAGTAATCTAATTAGGGAGTTGCAGCGAAAACCCACATGCACAATGGCCCTTTTTGGGTATGATTGGCCACCCCTAATTTAGACACAAATTCAGGATTGTTTGATACTTCGGAGAAGGAAATTTTGTCCCATCGGTTCAAGGTTACATCAGTTTAGTGACTTCAGTCTGAATCTTATTGAACCAAACTAATTTTATAAAGGCATTTCACACCGCATTGACACAAAATCTAACAGGTACAGCATGTAATTTTGCAGTTTTGATAAATAACCAATAATAAAATACCAGTATCGATATCAATATTCTATATAATATTTAGCTTAAAATCACCCACTGTCCACTCCACCCCACAAAGCCTTCATTGATAATCAATGGTGCAAGTTATGTAACTGGTTATGTAGCAAAGTCAATATTGACCAGCTTTGCTTTGGTACACTGCTGGGTCAGCCAGAAGAGAAGGCCATTGCATTGCACTATTTCTTAACACACCAATGACTGTTTGAGTACACAGTGGAGAAGTCTGGCTGATTCAGTGCAAAAAAAAAAAAGAATTCATTGCAAAAAAATATCGAAAAAATCAAACCCCGCCCCCGCTCTGATCGAACCCTGACGTTGGCATGTTCTTCCCGTCTCGTGAGGGTTGCGATCTTGCACATCACGTGTGCGTGCATGTGCCTCGTGATGGGCAGGAATCCCATTTGGGATTTACCGCTGCTCTGTGCTGCTTGATAGGCTCCGGGCCAGTTCCTGTCATTGAGAAAACTGATAATCATATTTACTTTATTGTATTCTAGCAAACGATCAATAGGAACCCAGTTAGCTCAATAACGCTATGAAGCTGCATAGTGGTGTCGACAGTATGCAATAGAAATGGAGGGAACAGAGGGACAACATGCAAACTCACACATAAATCATGCAGGATTAGAACCCCCCCCTAACCCTGGAAGTGTGGGAGCAGTACTGCAATCTACTAAACCACCATATATCTATATTTTGTTTGCGATTATTGTCATCTAACAATGATGGATGGCCAGTGATGGGTTAAAATATTAATGGACCCTCTCCTCATTTAGGAACTACCTCAGTTAGTGAAAAATACAAAGATAATTTGAAAAAGAAATCATTTCTGACCAATGTGCAAATTTAAGGGTCATTTTTTTGAACATCTAACAACGATGCACGCCGGAGTGAGAGTAACGCTGGCGTAACTGTACGAGAAATTTATCGGAATGAGATGCCAGCAAGGAGTGATCTTGGCAGCGTGAAGCACGGTCGCCGTCACTCGGAGGCAACAGTGACTTCTTTTTACTTAGTCACCTTCTCAGTTAACGACCTGGATGTTGTAATGGAATGCGGTAGCTAAATGAGGAGAGGCTGATAATATATGCATATAATAATATATGCGTTTATCAGACCACAAAGGAAACAAAGCTGGTCAGATGCTGGGCTAAGGCACTGCTCTCTTTTATTTTGGCCTGAAATACCATAAGTCAGTCTCTCTGCTCATCAGATAATTGCGGTATACTAGTAAATACCACTAGCAATGCATTTTAGAATTATGGTACAGCCATTTGAAAAAGGGGCCTGAAGCTGAAATAAATAAAGCTGAATAATCTACCCAACAATTTGAAATGTTGCCTAACACTGATTGAAAAGCCTAGTGCAGTGCAGATTCACTGGGATTTAATTCACTGGGATGTCATGGGAGTGCATAGAGGATGCAGTGTCCTTATATGGATACTGACAAGTCCTAAAATGTGTGTGTGGGGGGGAGGGGGCAGGCTGCTGGGCAAAATGACTTAACCTCCAATCCGTTTCTGGCTTAGTAAATGAGCAATAGCATGGATTTTTCTGTAGAGGTAACATTCTGTGACTGCTTGTGCGTATGTGTGTGTGTGGGGGGGGGGTGTCAGGCACCTGGAATCTATTGACAGGGAACAACCCAGGAGGGGGTGTCAATCATCACAGGGCACACTCACACACACACACCTACAGGCAATTTGGTAACTCTAATTAACCTCAGCACATTTTTGGACTGTGGGAGAAACCAGAGTTCCCAGAAGGGACCCCACAATTACAGAGGGAGAACATGCACAGAACCCTGCCGGAGATTCAGACTCAGGTCCCAGAGGTGTAAGGCAACAGTGCACCCTGTTTATGTCTTTAATCCGTTAAAATCAAATACATTTTAGCATTCAATTGCATAATTCAATTAAGATGTAACTGCAGTGCGATCATTTTCCTGCAAGCAGTGAGTGATATTCACTTAAATTAAAAGGTTTCACAGGATAAAGCTGCAGTTATGAAAATACAAAAGATTATTACAATGACAATACTTGTGACTAAAACAATTGTTCTGTACTGTCTGTACTGTAGAATAGAGATATGTTTCTTTTTATAGACATATTTCACAAACCATATTCCAGCTCTTAACTTTCGTCTTAACATCATCGTGATCATCATCATCAACAGTAAATTCAGACCAAATGAACTTGCCATATGGCATCCTGGGCATTTTCCCAGTGGACCGACTGACCTTTGAGTCGGCAAAATTTATAGTAGGGGACCCCACTGATTGGCAACATTCATTGTGCCCCCCCAATCAGCAACATGTGTCATGGATATGTATGTGTGGTTCGCCTGTCTGGAAAACAGTCCAGGGCTGACTTTTAATCCCAGTCCAGCCCTGTGCCAGAATGAATCTTATAAATCAAAGGCTTTTGCCACTAAGCGGCAGGCATGATTGACTCAGTGTTTATCCTGAGACATAAAAGTAGGAATGTTGTGTGTAACGCTGTCAGTAAATCTGACTCATCACTTTCAGTGTTATCAGATACTCTCAAAATACCTCACAAATGTTAAATTTCATTTAGAACGATGTTAATGATTCCAGAAAGTTTTCGTAACTCATTCGTGTAACGTTTCGCGCTCTCATGTGATCATGCTTCCAAACGAACTTGAAGAACTGGTGTACTTTGCCTGATAAACATTTGACCCGCCAACAACCCCCCCTGCTTGTGGTGAAACATGACAGGGCCCCAAAGTGGACGGTTAAACAGACACTTTGTACTCTTGCAAATGCGAGCAAATACAAACATGCAAACAAACAAACAAAAATCCAACATTACTCTGTTATTCCAATACAAGGATCAAAATTAAGTGAACCAAACATTCTCGTTAGATCCTGTGACTAGTATAATCTTAAATTACTGATGAGAACAACTTGTATAATCCATATAGAAGGAGTGCCATTTTCAACAAGTATTTTAATCATTTACAGAAATACAATACAATTATTATGGTTAGGTCCACAATATATTTGCAAGTGACATATGTGTTTTATAAATAAGAGCGTTTTATAAATAAGGCTTATCTATTTGTGTTATTTACATGCAGTACATATAGATCAGTCTGTAATATATTTACAAATACATCAAATACAAATATATATTTCTTTTCAAAGCAATGTACCCAGTACAGGATAAAGATCTTTATTAGATTTTTTGTGTATGAAGATGGACAACGTGTATGTAATGATTAATATCTACAACTAGTGTATATAAGTAGCCAAACATAAACCATATTACAAAATAGGTTGATGGGCTCAATACATCAATGATTAATAAAATAAGTTTTTCCTCCTGAGCAACAGGTGGCGCTGGTAATAGTTCCACTTATATTGTCCCGGAAGTTGAGCCGGAAGTACTTCCTTGTTATGTTTTTTTCCACGCGTAGCGGCTCACGCTTGCGTTTCTTTTGCAAAAGAATACAATAAAACGATTATTTTTACGACGTTTTGTTAGACAGCGTTCACAATGGTTGAGGTAATATACGTGTAATGAAACGACGCCCGAATATTTCTATGGTTATTCTGATTTAGGCTGCTCCGCTTTACCCGCGCAGCTGAAGGTTTATTCATATCTTGTTGGCTGTAGTGAAAAATTGCGCGGCTTGCTGGCTTGTAAACGTTAAGTTCGGTTTAAAATATTACGTTTATATATGGATATTTTGTAGTTTGATTAAGGATATCGTGTTTTGTTTAACTTGAATTTGAGCATTACTATTACAAGCGCCACTGGCGGTTAAAATGCTGCACTGTGTTTGGTTTTGGAGTAATAAAATACGGTTTTAAGTTAACCTAACCTCGCGAGCCTCTATATTTTTGGCTTTGCAGGAG